CTCAATGGTAAAATCTTAGTCAATTTTCTAAACTTCATTATGTCACTCTCGTACTGGCCCCGATCTTAGTCTCTTTATAGCTCAATAGTCACAATGTTTCCCTTGATTAATTATCTACACAAGAATAATAACCTCAATTTTACCTCATAGAGGCCTTCCAGTAGCTGAAGAGGGACTACAAGAAAGCTGGAAATGGACTTTTTATAAGGGTATGTAGTGAGATGACAAGGGGTAATTCATTAAAACTTGAAAAGGGGAGAATTAGATTAGACATTAGGAGGAAATTGTTGCCTTTGAGGGTGGTAAGACTCTGGCAAAGGTTACCCAGGAAGTTATGGAAGCTCCATCCCTAGAAGTATTCAAGGTCAAGTTGGATGGGGCTCTGAGCAATCTGATCTAATGTGAAGTGTCCCTGCCATTGCAGAGGGTTGGATCTAGATGATCTTTAAGATCCTTTCCACCCCAAACCATTCTGATTCTATGATTTTTTATATCTATTGTGCTAATTATGACTGTTAATTAAATTCTATTTTTCTCTGATGAAAAAAGCATTTAGTCCTATCAAATGTCATAATTAATATTCATATTACACAACTAACATTTGGCAGATTCTTTGAAGACAGCAGGCCAGAAATAATTCACAAAGTGAGGTAAAATCATGGGGCCAGTATGAGGCACTGACTGATGACAGATAACCGGAAATATTGTAATCAGATCACATGGCTTTCCACTTCCTTATGGATACTGTATGTTCTGAGGAGACAAATACATACATTAGCCATCGGAAAACTGAGAAATTAATTCCTGAAAAAATGAGAGGAAGCAATGATCTTTATGACAGAGTGATTTTATTATTATTTATTGTAATAACAATAATAATAATAATAATAATGAAAATCTAAAATATTTTAAATTGTCCTATCTGGTTAATTAAAACAGGGGAACCTGCAAATGTAAGGATGACAAGCCTAAGAACATGAACAATTTGATTTTTAAAAGTGTTCAGCATCAACTTACATTTATATTATGAAACTTTTTGACAGGTTAGTATTATTTGTACAGAAAATTAAGTAAGCACTGGAAATAAAATGATTATTTTTTAAAAATCTTAACATACCTCATGAAGTTCAATGAGGGGAAGTGCAAAGTCCTACACCCAAGGAAGAACCACATGCACTGAAATATGCTGGGAGCCACCCAGCTGGAAAGCAGCTCAGCAGAAAAAGGCCTGGGGGTCCTGGTGGACACCAGCTGGAACATGAGTCATCAATGTGCCCTTGCTGCCAGGAAGGTGAATGGGCTGCATTAGGCAAAGTATTGCCAGGAGGTGGAGGGAGGTGATCCCACCCTTCTGCTCAGCACTGGTGTGGCCACACCTGGAGTGCTGGGTCCAGTTCTGGGCTCCTCAGTACAAGACAGATGTGGACATACTGGAGAGAATCCAGCAAAGGGCCACAAGGATGATGAAGGGACTGGAGGAAAGGCTGAGAAAGCTGGGGCTCTTCAGCCTGGAGAAAAGAAGGCTCAAGAGCGAATCTTCTTAATGTATATAAACACCCAAAGGGAAGATGCCAAGAGGATGGAGCCAGGCTCATTACAGTGTGGCGAAGTGACAGGACCAGAGGCAATGGGCACAATCTGAAACACAGGAACTCCCTCTGAACATCAGGAAACTCTTTTATACTGTGAGGGTGACCAAGCACTGGCACAGGTTGCCCAGGGAGCTTGTGTGGTCTTCATCTTTTGAAATACACAAATACTGTCTAGGCATGATCCTGGGCAACTGGCTCTGGCTGGCCCAGCTTGAGAGGGGACCAGATGACCTCCAGAGGTCCCTTCCAACCTCAACCATTCTGTGTGATTCTGTGATTCTGTAGTAGTGAGTTCAGTCTGTCCATCAAGAAGGCACATGTCCAAGAGAAAGGGAACATTCCTTCCTTCCTATTCCTTCCTATTCCTTCCTTCCTTCCTTCCTTCCCTCCCTGCTCCAAATCAGGATGAGATACAAACTTTTACCAATAAAAGATAGGGTTGTTGTTTTTTTTTTTTAGAAACAACTATAAAGGAAATAGAAAATGAGCCTTACTATGATAGAAATAAATAAATGACTGTTGAGCCTGTTCCCTGAAGCAGGGTCTAATGTAGTCACAGCTGCAGCATTCTGTGCATATAAAATTTTTTATAGCTATTTAAAAAAGAGATTTCAAGAAAACTCACCTTTCAAAACTGGAGAACTGCTGTTATTGAGTTATGTATCTCAACAGGTATCCAATGTTTACCCCTGGAGGGATTTCTTCTTACAGAGGCTCTAACTCCCTTCCAAATGGAAGCACTCACCTTCCCAGCCGTTTGGACAAGGTTTAGCATGATAAAATGATTTGTTATGCCAATGAAGTTTTTGTTACACTGTAAAATGGTTTGTTACACTACTACTGCTACATAAAAATGTTATGAAAATTAAGTAGGTTGTAAGGTCCAAAAAGGAATAGGTTACTACTGGAAAATATAGAAAAGAAAGATCTTCTGATGTACTGTACTTCTTCAGTACTGTAAAAAGACAACCTGAATGATCTTTTAACTAACTATTGAAATAGGTACTCCAATTAGGAAAGCAGTTATGCATTCAAAATGAATGGGAACTTCCTCAGGTCAACAGTACTCAGAAAATGGGAGGGAAGTCTAATAATCTAGGTGGTGACTTCTGTCCTGTGTGCCAGTAAATGAAACAAGCCTAAACTACAATTCAGAATAGAAAGTGAAGTACAGACTCATGGGATGTGAATGACAATGCATCACAGATGGGACAGCAAGATAATAAGACTGGAGGAAAACCTTATTTTATGCATGAGATTTTAATTTTAACACTGTATATCTGTCAAATGCAGTGTCTGAAACTGGCAACTATTTAATTCACAGTCAAGCCTTATAAGATCCTGGCATATTTTGACCATGCAATGAATTGTATTCAGTATTTATTTTTGATTGCTTCAGGCAATCAGTCACTCCACAAGAAAGGGAGGGCTTTTTCATTTTATGCTTTAAAATTAGTCCATATTTTTTATACTTTTCAATGTTTATGTTTGTTTTAGTTCATTTATATTTACTTATTTTATTCTATTATTCTATTATTAATATTTGTGTTCCTGTCATTTTGTAAATTTTTACCAGAATTGTACTGCACTGATAACTGCAGAAGAAAATATTTCATTATTTCAACAACCAGCCGCATTTCCTCTAAATTTGCTTCTAATTACAAAAAAAAATTAGAAAAATTTCTAACACAATATCATGTGTTTTTTCTTATAGAAATGTGGAGGTTTTGGAAATATTTAAGATTTTATCCTTTTAAAGCAAACACTCTTCAGTTTCCCTCGTACATGCTCACAAGCAGAGTGAACGATGCCACATTGTGAGGAGGATTTGTGGCATCTAAGAGCTCATGGGAGAAGTAACCTGTGTTGAGTACCAGGTCCCCACAAGAGTAAGGAAAGTGCATTCAGTTAAGCTTTGCAGATGTAGTGTGCAAAATTCTTCTGCAAGGCCTGCTTTCACAGAAACATTACAATATATGTTGACATGCACAGGGCTGGGCCTCAAGAGAAGCCAGGAAAAGATCCCAACTCCAAGTCTTTGCTGCCTGACTGAACAACAGTCAGGACAAAGCTTGTGTAGGTGCATGGGATGTCACTGGTGCACTCAATCAAGTGCACTAATTCAGACCTGGATTGTCAAGTGGAAGTTTATTAATCACTGCTGTAAGATACAAGTTCCTTATATTTTGTTTAAAAGCAGTGGCAAGGAAAAAGCACTCAGCATCTTATAAAAGGCATTTAGTAACACAGAGAAATTGTCTTGAGAGAAATATGCCTGTATTGAAAAAAATCTAAAAATTAACATTTGAAAATAATTTTCAACTAATAAGTGAGATTTAGCCTGTAGAGTCCTTTTACTTTGCTAGTGATAGGGTTTACTGGTCAGTCAGTAAAACGGCTTGAAGTGCAGACTAGACCAGGAATATCCAGCCTTTCCGGTTGCCCAGATGAGGTAGGTCACCTGACTAGTGGGTGTGGGCTGCAAACTGCATCTTTTCTCCTACTGCCTGACAAGCACTGGTGGCCATAGTTAGGACCACTAACCATGAGCATTTATGCTCTCAGAACAGGCCCAGACATGTGGAATATATCAGACCTCTGTGCACCCACTGGAAGTTGGCTGGTTGCTACGTACTACGCACAGCTGTGTAGAGAAAGAGGTACCACCTCTAGTGATCACATGCAGCTCATGCCAATCAACCTTTTAATCACCAGCAGAAACAGTCATCACACTGAGTAAAGACTGTGGTGGAGACCGGGTTGTTGCTCCCAAAGAAACTCATCCAGCCCCAGTGCTTCCCTGCACTGTGGACTTTTCATAACAACTTCTTATACTTGCAATTTTTGCCTGGTGTTGCAACTACAAAACGTGGATGACAAAGGCAGAGTATTCTAATAACACTGGCTCCCAGAAAAGAACTGATAATGTAGTTAAATATAAATGAGAACTTGAATTCCTAATACTTCCCTGACATTTTTCAAGTGTTACACCTATATTTCACTTTGGGAAGAAACTTATGGAAGCATCACATAAAATATTTACATTCAGGGCTGAATAAATACTGTCATTGATTGTGAACTTTGGAAAGGTTTAGGTTAATCAATTTTGGACAAGTCTCCTCTCCTTTGCTATACCTGTCGTAATGAATGACAGCCGAGAACTCGAGTTCATTTTAACCTGTCCCAGCAAAGGCCAGAATGGGAACTATGCCTGTACAGATCTTTAGGGATATAAGGAAAGAGAAAAGGAGTGCACATTTTAATAATGCAACTGTAATTATCTAATTCAAAATGCAACTAAAAATCTGCATTTTTATCCATCATCTACTACATCTCCCTTCCAAGACAGAGACACCCAACAGCAGCAGGACTGCCAGGATCCGAGTACAAAAGGAAACAGGAACTTACGGAGAGGAGTATTTGGATAGCACTGTGAATGACCTCTAGGTACTGGAAATCAATTATGCAGCCTGTCACGGAGACGTAGGAGTAATCGTCCAGGATGCCAGGGGCAGAAGGACGCACCACCCTTCGTATGCAGCCAGGCCCGTGTTCCCGCCACCAAGAACGGTGCATTGAGATGTTAAAGGTCATGAGATCGGTTTCCTAGGAGACAGGGAGGGAAGAAGTGTGAAAACCTCTAACTTTGTGTTCTTTAAGGTAAAGCAAGGGAAATAAAAGATATTTTCAATTATTCTAAAGCAAATAACATCAAGAACTCGCTTTCCCCCTCACCCCAGTAATTTTAATATGAAAGGAGGTCATTATGGGGGACAGAGGAAACTGCATACATTTATTGTTTATTTTATAATCACAGAGTGTTAGAGGTTGGAAGTGATCTCTGGAGATCACTGAGTCCAAGCTCCCTACCAGAGCAGGACCACCACAAAATCTAGGGCAGTTCACACAGAAAAGCATCCAGACAGGTCTTGAAAGTCTCCAGAGAAGGAGACTCCACAACATTTCTGGGCAGCCTGTTCCAGTGCTCTGTAACCATTACAGTAAAGAAGTTCATCCTCATGTTGAGGTGGAACTTCCTGTGCTCTAGTTTGCATCCATTGCCCCTTGTCCTATCACGGGAAATGACTGAAAAGAGACTGGCCCCTCCTTCCTCACACACACCCTTCAGATAATTATGTACATTAATAAGATCCCCACTCAGTCTTCTCTTCTCTGGACTCAACAGCCCCAGGTCTCTCAGCCTTTCCTCATAAGACAGGTGTCCCTGTCCCTTCATCATGCTCATAGCCCTCTGTTGGACTCTCTCAAGTAAATCCCTGTCCCTTTTGAACTGAGAATCCCAGAACTGGACACAATACTACAAATGTGGTCTCACTAGGGCTGAGCAGAAGGGGAGGAGAATCTCCCTCGACCTGCTGGAGACACTCTTCCTTAATGCACCTCGGGATACCATTGGCCTTCTTGGTTACAAGGGCACATTGCTGTTCCATGGATAACTTGTTGTCCACCAGGACTCCAAGGTCCTTCTCCATGGAGCTGCTTTCTAGCAGGTCAGCTCCTAAACTGTACTGGTGCATGGTGTTATTCCTTCCCAGGTGCAGGACTTTGCACTTGTTCTTGTTGAACCTCATTAGGTTCTTCTTTGCCCAGCTCTCCAGTCTGTCCAAATCTTGCTGAATGGCTGCACAGCCTTCAGGTGAATCAGACAATCCTTCCAGTTTTGTATCATCAGCACACTTGCTGAGGATACTCTCTGTCCCCTCATCCAGGCTGGTGATGAAGATGTTGAACAAGACTGGACTCAGCACAGATCCCCAGAGGACTCCACTAACTACAGGTCTCCAGGTGAACTCCGCACCATTGATCATCATCCTTTGGGCTCTATTGTTTAGCCATCCCACTGTCCACTCATCTACCCCACACTTCCTGAGCTTGCTCACAAGGGTGTTATGACACTGATTCGTCCTTTGCATCCCTCTTTCAACATCTGTCCTGTCAGTCTGTTCACTATCACTCTGACCAAAGGGATACTGGGTGCAGTTTCCAGTTGCAGGAGTCCTCTTGTTGTTTTTGTCTGTTAATCACCTTAATTCTGGCCACACTTGAAAATTTATGGGTGAATTACATCCTGGCAGTCTCTGTTACTGCTAGATAGTCATAAGAAGTCTGCCTTTGTGATTTGCTCCTGTGCTCTCCACAACTTCTTTACCTTCAAGACGCAGAGTTGCTGGAGGATTAGTTACAGTTGATGAGGCATTTGTCTTCTGACTTTGCAAGTAATTCCTTGATAATGGTTTCAAAAATTTTCAGCTGTGAGATGAAAACAACTTGTGAAATCAGAAGCTAACAGACAATTCAGCTTAATGAAAATATAAATCTATAGTCACAGGAAACAGCTGAGGCTTTCTCCATACAACAACGTCTGAGATTGCACAGTGCTATCAAGCACTTTTAACAATTGTCAACTGTAAGAAATGCCACTTGTCAAGCAGCACACACATAGGCACTCATCTATTTCAGTAACTCTTTGTTGAGCTTTGTTATTACAACTGTGGGAATAAATTGTGATGTCCATGGCATTGGTGTCACAGCTTTCTTTGGTCTCAAGGGTTTTTTGCTTTTTTTCTTTTATAATTTTTTTCCCCTTTTGATTATTGTCCTGTTACAGAGGTGGGGGGGAAGGGGGCAGAAGGAAGTGAGGGTGCAGGTAAATTTGCATGAGAAAACAGCTTGGTATTTCAAATGCAGGAATTTGGCATGTGGTCAGTACAAACACTTCTTAAAAAAAAAAAAAAGCTTTAATTTCTGGAGAATTATTATGTTTGCTTCTTGCGGTGATTAAAAAAAAATTGCTTGAGTTGATGGTCTTATTTAGAGATGCTCAACTAGATGTTCATGTTTGTATTTCAAGGCTGCTGGTGATGCAGTAAGAGAGGGAAACAGCAATAGGATAATAAAAATTCTTTGATCAAATACCAAAATGATGTCATCACAGCACTTGCTGCTTTAGAAAAAATAATTATTATTCATAAGTTATGGATAAAGGCTGGCAGAAGAACTTTTCATAATGACTTTTCACTATATGTATTATGTTCCGAGTCCTCAAAGCAGGTAAAAGCAGATAGTGATGGCCCAGCAAAGATCAGTTTTAGAAATGCAAACAAAAGTACCCGATGCATTAGCTTGACCTCTAAAATATCACTTCTCAAAATGGCAGCCGTAAGCTGTTTGAGCTGATAAATGTTAAGCTGCCAATCAATACAAGAAAGCCTGACGAAAATCAATTTTATTTTATTTTTTTTGTCGCTGAAGCACACTCCTCTCTAACTTCTCGGAGATTCTTAATCCATACAGTGAGTTGAATGTTCCAGGTGTTAAAAAATTAACCTGCATCTTTATCATTGGTTACAGAAGTTTAGAAAATTCAAAAACTCTTTGCCTGGGGGTACAGGTTTTAAGTATCAGTGAACTGAGAAGGTTTCAGTAGTAATGAACTCAGTGCTTGGAGACCCTGTGCATGGTACAGAAACAGCTGCCCCAGTGGCTTATTCTCAGTTGTATGTTTAAATGAAAGTTAAGAACTCTTTCAGAAAGTACAAGCACATACTTGCAGTTTTTTAATAGATCACACACTGTTTTCCAATGTCACAAGCCATCATTAAGAAAATGCGTATAAAATGCTTAATCCTCAGCAGGTGATGTCATGTAAACTACTTTTTTATAAAACAATGCTGCTGCTTCATAGTAAGAGACTCAGTTTCAGCTTCAAGTAGTCTCTCTGGAATTCATTTAACAACTGAAATTTCAATCATGGATGGAAAGTTCCTGTCTTCTGAACTTCAGACTCCTGACGTATCTTGATCTGAATTCTATACATCAGCAGGTGAACTATACCCATCAGCCAGTAACCTTTCAGACAGATGTCATAAATGAAGAGTAGGTCAAACAGGGAGATAATAGGACTTCCAGGAAAATCATGTGGGCCTTATGGAAGTGACATGGTGAAGGTAAATCCTATGTCCCACTCCCTACTTTTTCAGTCAGCACTGAAGCTGTACTGCAGTCTGTGGTAACAAGTTTGCTCCTAAGTGCAGAATCAGCCCAATCATTACAGTTCTGCTGATGTGGAGTCCCACTTGACTGTCTATGGCTTTTTAAGCTTTTAAACTATGTATAGGATGTGTGTTTGCTCTCAGCACAAGGATTAATTTTGATCTTTATTGGAAATCATTGCTATGGCAGGTATTTTCTTTTAGGCGAGATGTAATCCCTTTAAGTCCCAATAATACTGTTTTCTAAGGGCTTGGGGATAATGCTTAATTTCATTATATCTGCTTAAACTCTACATTTGGCTTCAGTTGGACATTTTCTATTGGCCAGGGCTTTGAGCAGCCTGATCTAATGAAAGATGTCCCTGCCCATGGCAGGGAGGTTGGTCTAGATGATCTTGGAAGGTCCCTTCTGACCCAAACCATTCTGTGATTTTATGATTCTTCTTCTGATTTTTAGGTGGTGAATCTAGATAAATTTTAACAGATAATAGAATAACATAATTTAATTTAAAGAGGAATAATAAGGATGTTGTTCCTGTCATTTAGTTGCGTGCACTTTAATCACAGTGCCTATAACAACACACACAAAAAATAAATTAATTAAGACTAAAATCATTAGATGTGAAGAAAACAAGACAATGAAACTGCAGGGGGAAAAAAACCTGACAACAAACAACCCACAAACCACATACACACAAAAACCAAAACCAAAACCAGCAAAGCCCCACAAAACACAGAAAAAAACCCCTAAAAAACCAACCAACCATTCAAACAATAAAAAGCCCCCAAACATAAGAACCCACACCAAAATGGCCTTGTATAACAAACAAATACAACAGTGTGACATGATGATTATGCATTGCAGAAATGTTTTTTTCACTGTAAGTTTCTGCTTAATGACATACTAATTTATATTTCTTTCATTCCTTGTTAGTATCTGAAAACCAAACTCTTATGAAATTGTAAGGACAGTGTATTGAGTGGGATGGAGGACAAGTACTGTTTCTTCCAGAAGACAGCAGTCCACACTTGGTATTTCACAGAATGTACAACAGCACAAAGATCTGGCAGAGCATAATGTTAAAGAACTTTACTTTATTGTTGCTTGTGCTGTCCCTAGCTCTTCCTAACACTTAATATTTTATTGATACATACTATAATGCTTATTAGAAATGAACATTAATTAGGCTGAGGCAATAAACATTTCTATCCCATTCCTAAGAGTAACAAGGATGCTCTAGTTCTGACTTGCTATCCAGTTTCTGTTTCTTACCAGTGAAAAGATTTTCAATCAAACACCTGGCCAATAAGTAACAAAATGTACTTTACATTATGCTAGGAAAAAACCTAGTACATTTCCTTGTAATTCGCTACACACAGTTAAGCTTGTAGTTAAGATACAGTGGTGTTGGCACAGACAAGGCACATGCATATTCCTTAGAACCTGATTTCAAGGAGACATTAATCCTCATTAGACACAAAATATGTGTTCCATTGTTAACAAACCTGCTCTAATGGTAGAAGTACTTTGAAGCACGAGCATCAGCTATTAGCCAAAGACCCCCACTGGTAGCATAACATGTGTTCTCCACC